GGGGTGGGGTTAATTATATTATATTACAGTTAAATATTTAATTTAATATAATAATTGTGAAATATAATTAATTAATTCAAAAGAAACCTGATTTTTGCAATTTCAAACTTTGGGACCTGATTTTTAATTTTGGTAAAGTAAATGACTGAACCATAAATTTTTCCCTTTTGGCAAAAGTTCAGTGATTGAAAATGATATTCTGAAATTTATATGGGCCGACATTTTATTTAGTTGTAACTTGTAAACAGAAGCCCAACCCATGACTAACCAGAATTCAAGAAAATAAGAAACAAATTCAGTAAAATAATCAATTACAATTATTGGCTACATTGGGGGCATTCCGAGAATCGAACTCGGGACCTCTCGCACCCAAAGCGAGAATCATACCACTAGACCAAATGCCCAGCTGACATGTAATATCGGAGATTATTTTATATAACATTTAATAAAAATGCGATTATCGACAATTGATTTTTGCTGTGCAAGAAAGTTGAACCCTAAATTCCCAAATCAACTCCAGTATTTTCTTTCACAGTTTTTCTCAACCGAAACCCAGCTCCAAAGTTTTATTTGATTGGGAGAGATGAAGAGAAGTGGAGACGACGTAGCAGAGAAGCTTGATGGAGAAAAGAAGCCTGTATTTCTCACGAAAGCCCAGCGAGAACAGCTTGCCCTTCAACGCCGCCAAGAGGAAATCGCTCAACAGAAACGCAAAGCTGAACTTTTCCTTCAAAGCAACAATGACTCAAAATCCTTTTCTTCTTCCGACCGGGACAGGGACCGAGATTTGGACCGCCGGTCTTCACGTGACCATGATAGGGAGAGGGATAGGGAAAGGGGTCGGGATGTGGAGCGAAGGAATAGAGAGAAAGAGCGCGAGGAAGAGCACAAGGCACGTGAACGTGCTCGATTGGAGAAATTGGCTGAGCGAGAGCGTGAGGTGGAATTGGCTGCTATTAAGGAACAGTATTTGGGGTCTAAGAAACCTAAGAAACGTGTGATTAAGCCTAGCGAGAAGTTTCGTTTCTCATTCGACTGGGAGAATACTGAGGATACTTCTCGGGATATGAATTCGCTGTACGAGAATCCTCATGAAGCTCGTCTACTATTTGGTCGTGGACTCCGGGCAGGAATGGATCGGAGGGAGCAGAAAAAGCTTGCGGCTAAGAATGAGAAGGAGATTCGTGATGAGATTAGGAAGAAGGAGGGTGTCGAGGAGACACGCGAGGAAGCTGCTGCCCAGAAGAAAAAGGAAACGGCCGCTGATTTGTATGATACCTTCGATATGAGGGTTGATCGCCATTGGTCTGAGAAGAAGCTCGAGGAGATGAC